TAATGTATGATAAACTGGGCTAAAAGTTTGGTTATTATACAGGTAGTCCTCAACTTATAACTACAATTGACCGCAACATTTCTGTTGTGGAAAAATTTGTTGAGTTTTGCTCCATTTTATGACCGTTCTTGCCAGATGTTAAATGAATCACTGTAGTTAAGTTAGTAACATCTGGATTCCCCATTGACTTTGCTTGTTAGGTCGCAAAAGGAGATCATGTGACAACAGGATATGACAACCATCATAAATATGAATCAGTTGCCAAGCATCTGAATTTTGATCAAATGACCATGGGGATGCTTTTATGGTTGTGTGAAAAACGGTCACTTTTTTCAGTGATGATGTTAACTTTGAATGGTCACTAAATGAACTGTTGTAAGTTGAGGACTACCAGTATACAGAAATGGAACAATGAGAAATTGCAGTTGCAAGGATAGAAATTTACACTATAATTTTACATTTTTATAAAATGATGTACCATTGGTATATGTCACAAGATAAAATTGTCCAGAATATATAATTTCAAATTTGTGTTGGAAATGTGAACAAGAAGAGACATTTTATCATACTTACTGGACATGTAAAAAAGCTAGAACATTTCGGATCAAAATACGTAAAGATTTAGTGGATATTAAAGATTAATACACAACTGAGACCAGAGATTTTTCTTTTAGGACTGATGGATAAAAAGCTGGAAAAAAGTAATGGAATTTTGGTTTTGTACATGATAACTGCAGCAATATTATTTTATGTGGAAGGTGGAAAGATTCAACAATACCTAGAACAGAAGGGATGGTTGGTAGAAATGATGGAACTCACTGAGATTGACTTTTTTAGTCAGAGAAAGGACAGTAGAGATAGCAATAACACTTAGACTTATATACCGCTTCACAGTGCTTTACAGCCCTCTCTAAGCAGTTTACAGAGTCAGCATATTGCCCTCAACAATCTGGGTCCTCATTTTACTGACCTCGGAAGGATGGAAGTCTGAGTCAACCTTGAGCCAATCAAGACAGAAGAAATCAATTTCCTGGCAGTCAGTAGACTTAGCCTGCAGTATTTCATTCTAACCACTGCACCACCACGGCTCCTCTTCTTATTGCTGGAAATGGAATGGAAACCCTTTATAGACTTTTGTGTGAACCAGAAAAAAATGAACTTATGAATCACAGTTTAATAATTAGACAGGATAGATTATAGAAAGAAGATTGTCATGTTTTAACTTCAGAGAAAGAAGTAAAATTGTAATTGCACTTATAACTGCTGTAAAAATGGTCAATTATTTATATCATTTTTGTTTCTTTTCTATTTTTACTGTTTCCATTTCTTGCATTTTTAGCTTTCTTTTTGTTTTTCTTTGTTACTTTACATTAGTTTGTATTTGTTTTTATCTTTTTAAAAATACTGTGCATGTATATGTGTGCATCTTTGTGTGTATGAAAGAATCTACTATGTAACTCACTTCCAATTCTCAATTCTTAGGTCTTTTTTTTACCACAATTAATTCTGGTGAGGTAGCAAAATATGATTTTTTAATAAAGCATGCTTCTGCATAAAAATAAGAGCGAAAGAATACATGATGTTATAGATTAGTGTTTATGTGCTATCAGGACCCTACTTTGCTTCTAAAGAACAAGCACTCTAAAAAGTTCACAATTCCCAATTAGTTTATAATTTTAGCTTTCAATTTGATAGATTTTGTTCTGTATTTTCCAATATTAATACAATAATGTATTAATAGCAAGAGCAATCCTTCACAAATCATGGATATTAATCCTATTTTATTAAAATCAATTGTTTAATCATTATCATGGGAAGTGAACTTTTTTTGCAATTTTATGCTGTTATGTTATTATTAATACAAACATTTAGCACCAATTGTCAAATCCCTATTTTGCGCCTGAATATTTATCAAAATTAATAAGAATCTAGTATATTATACAAACTGTTAAAACCAAAACAACCGAGAGAAAAAAGACCTCCATGCAGATATCTGGGTACAAAGGGAGAGTAAAAGAATCTTGAATGAATTCAGTGATTTAGATCCTGGGATCTTCTCAAAAGTAGTGAAAACAAAAAAAAACCCCAATGTAGCTTCCTCCAATAGTTTTTTCAACATAGTGTTTCAAATCATATGATAATTACATGGGATCCTATAAATTATATAGACACATGTTGATCAAATTATTAGGAACTTGATCAATAGATATAATCAAGGGCAAATAACAATAGTTTCTTAAAAATATATGTAGCATCCAGAAATTCATAAATAGCTTGCAAAGTGTACAATAAGTTTAGAATATGTCACTGGAACAGAGGCAGATAATCTTTCTGCCAATAAATATACACTTCTATGTGCAAAAAGTGCAAAATGAGCAACTTGCTATTCAGATCCTTTGCAACAATACTTGAAATTTAGCTCTAGTGCCTCCCATTTCTCTTGATTGTTGCTGGCATGTTTCTACACCCTGAATGGAATCAACTTGTGGTAAATTAAATTGATTGGACATGATTTGGAAAGGCACACAATATTGTGTGCACAATCTCTATAGAAGGCGTCACAGCTGAAAATGCATACTGTAGCAGAGCAAAAGCCACGAAGTCAAAGAAACTGTCTGCAGAGCTCAGTCAGGATTATTGCAAGGCACAGATCTAGGGAAGGCTACAATAAAATTTCTGCTGCACTGAAGTTTCCTAAGAGCACAGTGGCCTCCATAATTCTCAAATGGAAGAAGTTTGGTGCAAGCAGTATCTTCCAAGAGCTGGTTGCCCGGTCAAACTGAGCAATCAGCATAGAAGGAAAGTAACCTAGAACCTAATGGTCACTCTGACTGAGTTCCAGAGACCTTGTGTGGAGTTGGGACAGAGTTCCAGAAGGACAACCATCATTGCAGCCGTCCACTGATCTGGGCTTTATAGAAGAATGGCTAGATGGAAGCCTCTCCTCTGTGCAAAACACTTGAAAACCTGCTTAGTTTGCTTCTTCTTAACCTCTGCTACAGTATGCTTTGTCAGTGGTGACACTTTCTATAGAGAGGTTTGTGCCTTTCCAAATCATGTCCAATCAATTTAATTTACCATAGGTCAACTCCATTCAAGGTGTAGAAACAGGTCAGCAACAATCAAGAGAAATGGGAGGCACTCGAGCTAAATTTCATATGCAAAAGGGTCTGAATTCTTATTCCAATGTGATATTTCATTTTTTTCTTTTTAATAAATTTACAGATATTTCTAAAATTCTGTTTTCACTTTGTCATTATGGAGTACTGAATGTAGATTAATGAGAAAAAGAATGAATTTCAACAACTGTAGAATTGGGCTGCAGCATAACAAAATTGACAAAAGTAAAGAGGATCTGAATACTTTCTGAATGCACTGTATATAGGACTCTTACAAAAGTGCTGTAAGAGTCCTCTTTTTGTTTTTTTGTTTGTAAATGTTTGTTCAGAACTATAACGTTGAAGAAATGAGGTTAACTACTTGTGGCTATACACCAAATTACATACAGGACTGCCAGAAAACAAACAAACAAACGAACTCTCTTTCTCTCTTCTACAATCAACAACCCTCACTTCTTCAAGATCACAGCATGTTATCTTGATAGGTAAAAATGTAATGTGTGCATATTAAAAATTGGACTCAAAGAATTCTTACAACCTAACTTGAAAATAATATCGGAGAACAAGCTACAATCTTAAAAACTCTGAAAGAAGTACAATCAAAGTGGATAAAACTAATGCCCTTTTAAAATATTTTGTTTCTTTAGAATGGTAATCATTGAGAACCTTTAATTGTTCTCAAGGAATTTATATTAGTAAATAATATTTCTGTATTGCAATGTTGAAGATAACACTTTTCAAAAACATACCGGAATTTAATAACAAAAGCAAAGAATCCATATTAAATAATAAAAATGTAAAACAATCAGTCCAAGATACAGTAATACCAGTGATACATGGAGATTTGAGTCACAAAGATATCACAAACTGGGATGGATAATGCACAATCTCCTTCTGTTATGGGGAACAGATGTTATCCTTGCTAAGACATTAGTTAGAGAAATCAGAATATAGCAATAACCCTGAGATGAATTCATGGTAAAATTTGCTTATTAAGGCTCCATATCTAAGATTTAGGACTGTTCCACACATTGTCAAGATTATATTTTTTCCAACTAGATCATATAACTCAGCGAGCCATAGCCAATTGGAAAATCCATTTTATCTAAATCATATATTTATTTTATTACAATGTGTTTTGGGAATATATACTTTTCAGCATGTATAATACAAGCAAGTGCTAAAAATGTGAATATATGAATATATGAAGCGACCCTTATTTTCAGAGTGAGTTTGCAATTAAAGCATGAATGTCAAATATCACAAAGATGAGAGAACTTTTTTCTAAATAACTACAAAAAATTGGCTGTTTTTCTTAAGTAATTGTAGAATCCTGTGATGAAATGAATGACTCAAGGCATTTAATTGTTGAACACATAAAATGAAGTATATTTAAAATAAAACTTTAAAAAATGGTCAGACTATAGAATCTGAAAAGAATTTACACGGCTGCAGCAGCTGAGTTTTTGGAACTGTTAATTTATCACAAAACTTAAACTGGGTTTCTTTCATTGCGCAGTATTTTCTTTTAAAATGTGTGCATTTTCAAAACAATTACATACATATTAAAAATCAGCATATTTGCTTAAACGTAATTAAAACGGTAATACTCTCAGACAACACAGATCTGAAATGGCAAAACCAGTAATTTTTTTCCCTCCCATCTTTACAACAAATTAATTTGAGACAAAATTACAAACACATTTCACTATATGATTAATAATAAAAATTAGGAGTTTTGTTTATAAAGTTGCCCAAAATGCAAGGGATGTGCATAGGTTTTACAACTTAGTCATAGTATTTTATTTTATTCCCTTGGGTATCTTCCCCCCATGAATGGAATGTACTTGGTTGTAGATTACAGTTTTTTCAACACAGATACACCAACGGCATGAACGCTTGCAACTGTCCACATGCATTAAGAGTCAAGACCCAACTTCAAATCTCTATTCAGTTTTACAGAGTTCTTCAAAGAGACAGTATCACATTATCTTCCTATTAAACTAAAATATTTTAAAAATGCTACTTTAAAAATGATTTTAAAAAGCAGAAGAAGGCCATTAGAATATAAGTATTGATCTGGTCATGATCGGGCTAATAATTTCAAATAAATAAAGAAAAGCAACTCAATCCAATTCACAAAATCAGACTCTAAAAGATGCAATGTTCTACCCCCAATAACGTAAAGATCACATTATTATTAAAATAGATTATAGAAAGCAGCATCTATTTTGTGCAGTTTTAGGGGCCTTTGAAATTAAAAGCTATGAGTTCCAAAAATATACCATTCCAAAGGATTGAATAATACATACATTTAAAGATACATTTTAATAAAATTTAGAAGAACTGATTTAAAAAAGATACTGTCTCTTTAAATTATCATATTTTTTGCCTAGCTATAAGGACATGACAATAATTATAAATGTAGGTCACACTACATCTAGGTAGTCTCTAGGGGCCAAGACCTGTTGACATAAGGTCAATAACAAAGAGGTTCTTCCAAGTATGAGGTGGCTTCCAACAATGATCACATTCTTCTGGTAATTGGGTTAATATATCCAGGAAACAGGAACCCATTGTGATGCTTTACAAACAAGCTCAATGGCTTCTTCCAGATGCCTGATTGTTTCATCAATTTCATTGTTGATAATTGTAAGGTCAAAGTAGTGTGCATATGTTCTCTGTAAGATTTCTGATTCCTTTTGCAAGCGTTGAAGAGATTCATCCTGCACAGTGATTAGGAAAAATGAAGGTGGAACAACTTTGTTATCTTAGTTATTGCATACAAGGAAGCATATTTCCAAATGCATTTCTTATATAAGGATTCATTCATTTTGAATCCTCTTGTAAGACATGTATTTGAAATGTTGCTTTACTTTAATAAAATTGAATTGAACTTATTAAACTGTGTGGTTCAATTATATAAATTTATTTTCTTCATATAACTCAGCATTTGTTTAAATGGGAGAGATGAATACAGGAGAAAATAATTGGATAAACAAGGAACAAGAGAGGAATGCTACCTTATTAATGAATCATGAGAACATGTATGTATGTATGTATGTATGTATTATTTATTATAGCTGTTCATTTCAAATCAATGACTCTGGATGGTGAACCATAAATAATGAAAATTGTTAAATCAGAATATGAAAAAGAAATTAAATACAAATAGTAGCCAAGTTATATTATGTAGTTTCAACATAATTCAACACAAAACCTTGGTTTGTGACTAAAATAAACTACTTAATAACAATCTGATTAATATATACAGAAGTGGACAAAAGTATTGGCAACCTACTTTTTCCTCTCAACATTTGGATTTGCCCTGAAATAAACTGAAACTGACATATGTAAATTGCATTCAGTATTTTTATTCCATAATTTCTATGAGATACCTTGCTTTTGATGTATGATATTTTTGTAAATAATAAAACAAGTGAACTAATCAGATTAACTAGACAGTTATTTGGGGGTCTTCTAGTCTAATTTCCTTCCCAAGGCAGAGTCCTTATATCATCTCAAACAAATAACTGTGCAATCTTTCCCTGAAAAACTCCAGGCTCAGAGTACCCACAATTCCAGAAGGTAACCAACTCCATTGTTTAATAGTTATTACTGTCAGAAAGTTCCTCCTTCTCTCTCTCCCGATGAGCGTTCACCCATTACTTCTTGTCCTAACCTCAGGTGCTAAACTGATGCCCTCTCTATTGGAAGATTGGTATCATATCTCCCCTCTGTGTTTTCTTGGTTAAACTAAATATACCTAGTTGCTTTAGCTATTCTTCATAGGACTTAGTCTTCAGACCCCTTATCATCTTTGTTGCTCTTTTGTGTGCTCTTTCTAGGGCCTCAGCATTTGTTTCTAAACCGTGGTGGCCAGAACTGGATGCAATATTCCTAATATGGCCTCACCAATACGGTATACAGTGGTACTATCACTTCTGGTGATCTTGATGCTAGCCCTCTGCTGATGCAGCCTAAGACTATGTTTCCTTTTTTTAGCAGCTGCAGCAGACTGCTGGCTATATGTAAATGGTGATCCATATTATTATATAACTGTTGTCATGTATATCATAAAACTGTGAAAGGATCATAATATCTATAGAACTGTGTCAGAACTACTTATTACTTTATGTTATGCAAAATATGATTTATAGGTAGTTCTTGGATTATAACCACTAGTTCACAACATTTAAAGTTGTGATGGTGCTGAACGAGGGAGATCTACAACCAGTCTTCAAAACTACAGCTATCACAGAATCTGAAATTATGATCTGGGTGCTTGAGCCTGGATTGCAATTACAACATTGCAGCAAGCCACTGTCATGTGACTGCAACTTCTGACATTCCTGCTGACTTTCCACAAGCAAAATCAATAGGGGAGCTGTCAGGAAGTCAGAAGTTGTTCCTCCCATTTTGCCTGCACTCCAAAATGACTGCCCACGGCACCTTCCTATGGTACCCATGCAACCAGGACTGCTGCAATTGTCATTAGTAAGTGATATGGTTTACCTAAGGTATGTCAGACTTTATAGCCACATTGCTTCATGATGGAAACTCTGGTCCACCCCAATTGCCATTGTAACCCAAAGACTACCTGTATTATGCTGTAAAGAATTATTTAAAAATTTTGAAAATTCCTATCCCAAATCCAGCCTCAGTAAATTCTATGGAAACTAGAATAAATTGGGAGTTGCTCAGAATTTTACAAAACGGGCAGCTATATAAAGGTTTTAAATAAATATATAAATATGGTGAAATCTTCAGAATTCAGCTACAGTTTTTCTATTGTGCACAAAAATGCAAGGAAGCACTTACCTAGCTCCAGATTATTTACTCCTTATTAAATGAGAAAGAGTCAACACTTCCTAATGTAGTGACTGGGGAAATCACCTGGACTATGGCATCCTCCCACAAAGGATATTTGCATGGTACCTAATGTGAGGTCATTTTATCCTTGGGAAATTATTTCTATGATTCCTATCATTCTCTCTGACTGGTGAACTATAGCTCTCATGATTAGTGGAATTACTTGCTTTGAGCTGTAATTCAACTGCATCTGAAAGCCTATACATACACTGCCAATTCCAGTTTTAAATTAAAAATATAAGAAAATATAAAAATAGCTATGGCATATAGGTTACATTTTATTAAAAACAACTATTTTATTCAAATAATATTAAAATAACAAAATATACATAATATTTGTTCCTAGCTGGTACTTACAGGCAATTTTCTGCACCATTTTGGCAGCTAGATAGAATCAGTACAAGTATAAGAAAAATGAGAAGCAAAGCAAAGCAAAGAAGTGAAATAAAACCCAACAATAATGCTGTAATATAAGATATGTCTGTAACAGTAATCCTCCTAACAACTTTTCATTTCCATTTATTTAGGTATTACTTATTTATGTTTCCATATTGACACATTCTCATTGAACTTTCTTTCTTGTAACTGGGTTTGGCAATTTGTATTTATTTTGAAAAGGTAAAACTAAAATATGTAGGATTAACACATTTATGTAAATACCATTAGTTTTCATAAGAATAAAAAGCCAGTTAAAATTTTAGAAAGTTCTATTTCTTTTTAATTAAAGAAAAAACTGATTATGGAGCAACATAATGACTAGATGATAATGATTATGGAGCAACATTATGATTATCCCTTTAAAGATGTATTTTTTTCAAAAGAAACTAGGAAGTAGATTTCCGACCAGGGAAAATCTGTAATAAGAAACTGGATGATTTTCCATTTTCACAGTCTAACATCCGTTTGGTTAAACTGTACAAAAATTAGCTGGTACAGACATGGCCTTAGAAAAACAAGGTAAAAATTAAAATAAAGCATGACAGGTAAAGAGAAAGAAATATTTATGCAAATTATATTCTAAAAAGAAAGACAGACATATGCTAAACATGTACAAATGAAACATACTGCATTTAAGACTTTTTCCAATTTCCCCAAATGCTATTTTACTACATTCAATTACACTAATATTTTACCGTAACAAGGCTTACCTCATTAATGCCTGGGGTAATTGTAGGTGCAGCAATAAAAACAACAAAAGGAGCAAACTCTGCAGTTCTCAGGACCTTCAAGGCCTAAGTGAGTATAATATAGAATGGTATAAACTTTAATATAAAGTAACATAGATACTCTTGTCCTTATTTCTAGTTCATATTGACCTATCAATCTTCTGACACTTTTTATGTGGGCAAAGGAAAGAAAGAAATGTCTTTCTTCGTGTCAAAGACAATTGGAAAAAGAGCATGTTTTGTCATCATACCCAATATGAAGGAAAATATTTTCTTTGTCTGATAAAATAGGCGCATGAATGTTATATCTACCTGAGGCTCTACATCAAGTATTGCAATTAATCCCTGTTCATGGATCTTCCGTATTGTTTCCAGTTTTGTCCCATACATTGCATCTTCATGGCTACCGTATTCCAAATATTCATTGTTGGAAATGTCCTGCATCATTTGGTCATGTGATACGAAGTAATAATTCTTTCCATTCTCTTCATCTTTCTTTGGTGGCCTGGTTGTATCTATAATTACAAAAGTTAGGCACAACAAACCCAGACTTCTTTCATGTTCATCTATACTAAAAAAAATACATAGTGGCAGTGGTGGGATTCAGTTGGTTCGCACCAGTTCACCCGAACCATTAGTTATTTGGTTCTGCAGTTTGGAGAACCGTCTGAAAATAAAGTGCAAGAGAGGTTTTTTCCCCCTTCTTTCTCCCTTCAGTTAATAGCTCCTAGTAGACAGCCAAGAACAACTTAATAAGCTACTTAGGTGCAATAACAGCTGACACATGCCTTGAATAAAATCAATAAACTACAGAAACTGACAGGATTAGGGCAGAGAAACACCCAGGAAACCCATCAATCACCCATCTAGGGATGGGATTAACCTCTTCTCTTCAGGAAGGACAAGATTACAAACATTTTCATTATAAAGAGTATTAAATAACACTTCTGTTATCAGCTGATACTCCCTGGACTTCCCAAAACCTTTCATAGCTGCTGCAGTGTTGGCTACTTCTTGTTTCTTCCTGGGGAGAAAAGATACAGGAGGGGACAATGATGCAGCTTGATCAAACAGGCTCTGAATTCAATGGATGTGTGGTCCAGCCAGCTGTATTGCTTCTGCTGTAAAGCACCCAATTTAGAATATAGAGAACATGGAATAATAGAGTTGGAAGGGTTGATGGCTTTTGGCAGCATGCCCAGGCTTTCAATTAGCCTGAGTGGCTGCTCTTAGTTTCCTTCTCAGCTGATGCGTTTGCTTTGGGGTTTTGACTTTTTTTTAAAAAAAGAGGATTGGCTGCTTTAATTTTTCTGCGTTGTTTTAGTGGTTCCTGGCACCTCCTTTTGTGGTGTACTTCCCTCAGTCTTTTTGAAAGCCTCAAGTGATGGAGCACCCACAACTTCTGAAGGCAAGCTATTCCATTGTTTGATTGGTCTCACCAATCTTAGGAAATTTCTCCTTACTCTTAGATGGTTTCTCTCTTTAGTTAGTTTCCATCCATTGTTTATTGTCGTGTCTTTAGGTGCTTTGGGAAATAGATTTGACTCCCTCACTTTTGTAGGACCCTTCAAATTTCCTAAGAGAATTATTAATGCCTCCGGAAGTTGTAAATCCTGTTGTAAATTCCTATGCCTGTTTTCGAGTTGCCATAAGCAGGAGGGAGGAAAAGGAACAGTATGGCAATTAAAACCAGAAATACATTCCATGCTTATTTTATAAAGATTATAGCCTAGGCTACCGAATGTGATTGATCACCCAGTTCGTGAACATGCTTTGTTGGAGAATCTGATTTATGACATATCCAGAGGGGAGGGGGGAAACAGGGTCACAGGTGACCCTAAATTACGTGTGGCAGAGTTGGCTTCATATGGGTCAATGCCGACATGTTGCTCCTAATAAATATTTTGATTCTTTTGAAGCTTGCCTCGAGGCTCATGATTTAATTAGGGCAATCGCTGGAATGCTGATAGCTCCAACACTGGAAGTTTTAAAGAATGGATTTGTCTGAAGTGGTGTAGGGTTTCCTGCCTAAGCAGGGGGTTGGACTAGAAGACCTCCAAGGTCCTTTCCCACTCTGTTATTCTATTCTATTCTAAATATTGGAACAGTGTTATTTTATTGTGAGTTGGACTAAGGAGAAATTTCTTAAGGGTGAGACCAATCAAGTTGGCCATTCCTATCCAGTCACATGACCACCCAGCCACGTCCACCCAGACGATCATTAGGGCAGAAAACCGGTTGTTAAATTATTTGCATCCCACCATGGCATAGGGGGTATGTATGAATTATGAATCATAGGTAAAAGTTTAGATATTCATTTCATTCATTTTGAAAACACTATCAAATATTAATTTCTGCATTTGAATTTTTGTCTAAATCAATTAAAACAATAGCCTTAAAACTGTGATAATTTTTATTTTTGAAAAAATCCTTTTGGAAAAATGATTTTTTAAAAATGACTTCTTTCCTGTGAGCACAGTCATTATTTGTTTAGTTTGGCCAGTCTAGTGAATTAATGACTCTGGGCTCTTAATAATCTATCTTACAAATTTTTTACTTACGTGGAATAGGGTATGCAAATCGGTCTGGATGTTTTGTAATTAGTGTATTTTTAATGTGTCTTCTCCCAACACCATGTGCTCCTGCATGAAAAACAGTTGATATCATTACAAAGAACTAGCAATATAATATATAATTCATAACTACAGGATCAACATTAAAGTTACCTAATAAAACAAGTGTTTTCCTTTTGAATGCAGGCAATTTTACCACTTCTTCATAGGTGACAAGATCTAATTGATCGAACACTGTAATAGGAGGAAAAACAAAAGATATAGAGGAAAAATGTGATATTTTTCTATTTTTTACTTTTCAAGGATTTTTATTACAATTTCACTAAATATTTTACTTAACAAGAATATATTACAAATTACATGCTCAAGAATTTGTGGGTGACACCATGCAAATAGGCACACTGAAAGTATTAACACTTCTAAAAATTTCTAAGACTCTCCATAGTAATTATTTTAAGGAACTAATAGACATGTGATAACATGTACTTAATCAACAGTAAAGATTTAAATATATTTTATTAGCGTATAAAATGAATTAAAATCTGCCTTATAACACTTTTACTGTAGTGTGTGCGTGTTGTGTATTAGCATCTTATAACCACCCCCACAAGTATAATTATCAGAGTAACCAAAAATACAGTTGTCTTTGCAATTTAACATTTTATATTAGCACACTCTTGGGAATTTGGATAGTGACGGACAAAAAAAATGGCTTTACTCCTTTATGCTACTGTCAATTATTTGAGAATCTCAATGCATTGTCAACTGCAATAGTCTAGTAAATCATACTAAAAATACCCTTCCCTTTCTGTGCCAAGTAATGAAATGTTGTTTGTATTATAATAATTTAAATGAAATTAAAGAATTAACCAATTATAACATATCCAAATTTCTTAAGTAATGTAAGAGTGAATAAACTATTTTATTAAATGTTGTACTAGAAAAAGGATATTTTCAAAAAGATAGAAAGGGAAACAGGGAAGGAGTTAGTGTACCAACAATACAACAATTATTTATTTTAATTTATTACAATACACTTTATATTTAATATGGATTAAGAAGTCAGTCCTTCAAACATTTAATTGGGCATATCTCCCTGAAATTCTGCCAAGATTTGTATTTCTTGTATTGATGGAATATTTTACTATCTTCTGGTATAGCAAATTTGACGTTTTAAGTTGTCAGAAATCTTCCTATTTGTAACATAAATCATGTAGCCATTATGATCTGAGTCTCTCCTGACAGTAAATATGGACATACAGGTGTTAATAAATCAAGATTAATAGCTACTATTGCTAAGAAAGATTGGGCTCTTTTGTGAAAAAAATATTAATTTCCATTAACTTCTTCCTTTCTGAGTTGTATTATTTTTCTCAGAACTAAAATAAGGTTTAATTATATTTTCACTTTCTACTTAAAGTAATCTTACTTAATGTAGTTATTGATAAACATAAAATCCTAATAATTTTCTTAAGGAAAAATAGAGGTTGTCTTTTCATGCTCATCAAATTTACAAAATGTATTATGTACTAAATGAAAATTGGTTGAAATTTTAATTTTTGCTATTTTTCAAGGCAACCTCTTAATAGTTAAAAGCATAACATATAGTGAGAGTGCCTCAACACAAACAAGCAGAAAAAACATTCTAATAACCAAACAATCACATTAAAAATTAATTCAGGTTTCTAGACAGAATTAAAAAAATGTACACATATTAGAGGAATACAAGGACACATTTACCAACTGACCTTTTAAGCATTTCTATATTTCTAGGTAATAAATAAAAGGAGTTATTGAAGGGAAATAGTAAGAAGCAAATAAAAAGGCATTGTCACTTGACAGGTTACTTACATGCACAGAGGCCATTGGGATTAAGACAGCATGAAAAATGGACAGGGGTCATTGAAATATGGCTCATAATATTAGTAAAATAAAAAGCATATGCACAAAATAAACTTCACCATGCAATATTCTAAACACAATGCAAATAAATCACTTTAAATGATAAGCATGTTTTTAAAACAACTGGTTCTCTTTTGTAAATTGCTTTTAATTACATTAAAGGAAACATTTTATGCTTATCTTAAGGTTGTGATATCATAAAAATGATCCAAATGAGTTATTACATACTAAGATAGGTAAATTTACTTCATAATTCCAAAATAATGGTGAGGTAATATGTAGTATTATTTAGCCATGATTTAATAAGAATACATTTACAAGATTACTAAAATAATTAAGAAAAAAGAAAGAAAACAGACATTTGGGAGGAAGTTGGAAATGGTATATTTTATATTTTTATTGTCTAAATACATGAAGAAATAAAACTTCATTGCATTACAGTATACGTTTTAAAAATCTTTTAAATCAGCATTCATCTATGGGGAAGATTTTTAAGAAATGGATTATTAAGAAAGTAGCAAGTCTATTTTCTATTTTTCTCCCTCAATTTCTTTTGTTAGCTGAACCACAAGATTTAAAAAAACTAAATAGTGAATGAGAAAAAAAATAGGATATATATTACTTTTAAAAATGCAATCATTTAAATGTTTAAAACCCCTTGTTTTCTAATGAGAAAACTGTGTAAATCTATGGTAATTAACTGAACCATAGAGTTTCACAGATGCTATCTGCTTAACAAGTTTGCTATTTTCATCAGAATGACAAAAGTTGTAGTTTGTTAACACATGTGTGCTAAGTCATGATGCACATCCAAAAGGTGCACCCAGAAAACAACTGAGCCAGTGCAACAGTGGTATAACTCAGGTGAACTGAAAGGTACCTAGAACTGTACGCTGCTGCAATCTCAATCAGCTGCTGCTTCTCAATGGCTTCAAGGGATCTCTATATAGAGCACATTGCAATAAGCAAATTGGAAGATGACTAAGTCATAGTGATTAGGAGTAAGGCTAGTCTAAAAACGGGCACACCTGGTCCTAGTCACACCTGGTGGACAACATGACGTTATGCAAAGATCCAACTCTTTAAAAGCAGCAGGGAGCGACAAATCCAGGAGGAGTCTCAAACTGTGCACTGATTTTGTCCAGACCATTACCCTGTCCAGAGTCAGAAATGTCAAACTTCCAGATCCCGGGAAGCTTAAAGCAATGCGTACGATCCCGTGAACTACGCTCTGAGTTCCATGAACAAGGAAATACTAACCTATACATTGACTACTGCACAGAATGTCTCAAAACCAAGACCTTCAACTTAAATCCCAATAACCATCACCCCAACATCCAACATTAGGCATGCATGCCCCTTACTTTCTCCAGACCCACTACCACATATCTAAAATGCAAACTACTCAACACAAAAAGCCTTGCAAACAAAATGCATGAATTCCTCATCTTATCAGGCACAACCACATTCGACATTATATTTTTCTGTGAGACATGGTTAAATGCATCTGTCTCAGACTCCATTACCAGAGTCAGCGAATATCATATTTATTGGTCAGATCGCGAAATCCATAGAGAAGGTGGAGTTGCTATCTTCTACAAAAAAATCCCTAAATCTAAAAAAGATTCAAATTACACAGCAACTTGCTCTTCCAGAGACCATCATCTGTGAACTGTCCTTGAATATCACAATCCGCTTCTTACTATGCTACAGAGCCCCTGATTATGACATAGTTCATGCAAACAAGCTAACTTCACTGCTAATGTGGGCTGCCTCTTGCCCTCACCCTCCTATTTCCCTTGGTGACCTTAATCTACCTCTTATAAATTGGACCCTAAATGAATGTACATCTGAACCCATACATGCAACCCTTGTACAGTGCTGTTACTACACTGGGACTAGATCAATTGGTAACTAACAACACTAGATTCAATAATTGCCTCAACCTTATCTTCTGCAACAGCTCAAACTCAATATATGGCCTAAAAATACAAGAACGCTTTTCAAATAGTGACCACAGTATGATCGACTTTTGTCTCAATTTACACCCTCACAAAGAGGATCATAATGATGGATCCCCAAAATACAACTTCAAAAAAGCCAACTATGATTTCATAGATGCTGACCTATTTTTAACCCTTTTTTAAAAAATTAACTTTATTACTTTTACAATTAAAATAGACAAACAACACATACATAAATAAAAGGAAATAAAGAAAAAAGAGTAGAAAGAAAAGTCAGAAAACAATTTCATCCTCGACAGTTTGTGGGACCTTATTTTTATCCTTATTTTATGCCATAAATACAATTAACCCTTGATGCGAATATATCTATCTATCTATCTATCTATCTATCTATCTATCTATCTATCTATCTATCTATCTATATCTCTATATCTCTATATTTCCATATCTATCTATCTATCTATCTATCTATCTATCTATCTATCTATCTATCTATCTATCTATCTATCTACATACATATATCTACTACAGTTATAACATATCTTCCTTTGCTCTTTTATTGTGTGATCTATCTTTGCTCTATCCATTCGTACCAGCAGTTCCAGCTGTCGTAATACATTGATGTTTCTTTATCTTTTAATGCCAAAGTTAATTTGTCCGTTTCTGCAAAACTTGATATTTTTTTGAATAATCATTTCTTCTGATGGAACATAAGGTTGTTTCCAACATTGTGCAAAAGCCAATCTGGCCGCTGTCAAAATATGTACTATTGTATATTTCACTTTTGGGGGGAATTGTTTATTAAAGATCCCTAATAAAAAGAATTCTGTTCTACTGTCATTTCCTCTAACCATTTTCTAATTTTCTGCCAATATTTTTGAGCCTCTGTACAAGACCATCACAAATGGAAGAAAGTTCCCTCCTTTTTTTGCATTTCCAGCAGTTCGGACTCATGTTGGGGTGCATCTTCGCTAGTCTTGAGGGGGGAAGGTGCCATCTATAAAACATTTTATAGGCATTTTCCTTGTATGCTGCCAATCTTGTGATTTTACTATTTCTACTCCAGTCCTTCTCCCATTCTGTTAAAGTGATACTATGTTCTATATTCCTATTCCAGCCTACCATATTCCCTTTGACAATTTCTTCCTCTAATTCTCTCTCTAGTAGGTAATTATAAAATTTTGTTTTATACCTATCTATCTCTTATATACCTATCTATCTCTTGATTGGCACATTCTGTTCTCTAGCTGTAATACTACAGAAGACCATTATAATGCATTCTTGTTTGAACATGAAAGAGTCATTAAACTATATGTACCATTAGTAACTCCAAAAAAACAAAACAAAAAAAACAAATTACCCATAACA